TTCAGGCAGCAAAGCAAAAGTATTTAAGTTTTTTAACGCGATAGTTTTGATTTCCTCAGACTGTTCTTTAATTCTTTTAATCATATTGAAAATGTATAACTGCTGATTGTGAAACTTACTATCCAATTTTATTTCAAACCAGCTAACTGCATACACTTGCACAATAAATTTTAAAATAAATGCAAGATAAAATTTTTTTATCTTGCATTTCTGGAAAATAAGAGCCTCTTGTCCAAAGACACAATAATCAAATTGCCAAAGTCATCTAACAATCATCTAACATGATGTCATCTAACCATCTAACCATCTAACCATCTAAATCATCTAACAAGTCATCTAACAAGTCATCTAACCATCTAACATGATTTAATGGCCCAATTTTTCACTTTGCATATTTATGATCAATATTTCCTCTTGAAACTCCAAGAACATATTCTAAAAGAAGTCTTTGATCCCTACTCAAATCTTTCAATGTCTTTTTATCAAAATGTATGTTATCTACATGGCTGCTAATTTTTATGAAGTCAACTTGAGGGAGATCTTGGTAGTTATTTTCACAAAGTTTTCCGATCGGACCATTAAACAAATTAGGGCTTTTGGTGCCTCCATCAAGATACTTAAAAATAGCTCAAAATGGAAGTTCATTTTGATGAAGTGAATAGCCAATAATGTGCAAATTGCTATTAATTTTTTTTCTACAGCTGTTACAAGCCCCTTTTTCCAACCAATGTTAGTAGCAGTATTGTCAAGGAGGATAGCTTTTAGAGAATGAGCAATCTTAAAATCATTTAAGACACTAGCAACTTCATCTCCTAACAAAAGTCCTGTAGCATCTTTGATCAGAATGACTCTGTGAGTAAGATATGATCCAATTTCAGACCTGGACTCTACTGTAAAAGTTAAATGGTGCTCTGAATGTTTAACTTGTCTTAGATTAATTTTTCCATTTGGATTCTTAACTTCTCTGTAAAATAAAGTGTCTTTGTCAACTTTTCCATCAACTCCAATACATGTTATGCCATTAATATCCTCCATAAGCTTATTTTGACTTTTTAACTCTAGTTTTCTGTCTATCAATTTTTGATTTATCAATAAATACAGTATTTAAATTAAGATTTGGCACAAGTAAGCCTGTAGCCTGCAAATCTAAGAGAAAAGCATTACCAAGGCTAGCCCCAATTCTTGATGAAACATCAGCCCTAATTAATTCCAAAGCATATCGTGATGGTTTAAAGAAATTGTAAGCCCCAGATATAATTGCTTTGTAACAACATTCATTGTCAAAGTTAACAGGAGTCTATGAAAAATGATGAAAATATTAAAAGTATATATATTAATAAGTATAAATATTAAAAATGTACATTATCTAAAAACACAATACAAATATAATACCTTTAATACTTCACTCATTTCACTACTGTAACTTTTCAAGTCTTCATCTTCATTCATTACTGCTAATGAATCTAAACTTTCCATGTTGTTGTCGAATGATGTATATGTTATGTATTTTTCTTGAGAAACTTTATTTAAAATCTGCTTCTGACATTTCTTATTACTAACAGAAGTTTTGTTTGTCTTATTAACACTTTTACGATCAATGGATCCAAGTTGAAACAACCCCTTAGGACCTATTTTTGCTCTCTGATCTTTCAAATACATTCTATGTTCTAATGGAACCTAAAATAGAAGTACAATTTATTATTTAGTATATATATATATATATATATATATATATATATATATATATATATATATATATATATATATATATATATATATATATATATATATATATATATATATAATATATATATATATATATATATATATATATATATATATATGTCTTTAATATTATTAAAATTAATAATATTAATATTATTATATTTTTATTAAAAAATGTAAACCTTTCTATCCAGTGGGCATGTGCAAATTATATGTTGTGTTTGACAATTTTCTTCTACGTACTTTACAAACTTATCATTACAAGAACGAACAGGTAGATTACATTTGCAAGCTGAAATATCAAAAAGCGTGTCTAAAGTTTTCTCGAGGTTATTACGCTTTACTTTAGAAAGAGATTTTTGGTTAATCTGTTGTGCTTTCATGAAGCATAATTTATTTATTAACTTTACCACATAATAATGTTCATATAGTGGTAACTTTGGATTAACAGTCTGCCATATTTTTATAACATTAAGTGCTATCATTTTTGCAATGTCATAATCTTTCAAGTTATGGTTGATGTCTTTAAGGAAATAGTTGTATTGAATAATCTGGCGAATGGTTGGTGGCCTGCTTCATTTAATCTGGCGAATGGTTGGTGGCTCTGCTTCATTTAAAGGTGAAGGCTGACCACCAAATTTTTTAACAAAACTGCCACGTGTTAAAACAACCTTTTGGTTTTTAGGCATTTCATTAAAACTTATTATTGTAAATAAAATATGTTTAAACAAATATAACGACTTCAAAAACAATTACAAATCTCTTAATTTGTTTATTTATTTTTGTACAAGCGCAAAAATTTACGCAAATTTTTGAAAGTAACACTAGGAGAAAGTTTTAAAGAAATATATTAAAATCATTAATTTTTTTAAATATATAATTGTTTTCTTATAGTAATTGTAAAAAAAAAAGTTATTATTTAAAAAAAAAAAAAATTATTTTTCAAAATATTTTAACTATGATATGATTAATCTTAAACATTTGCATTTTGAAATGATTAAAGATATTTTCTCCGAACACCTATAAATAAAATAAATAAATATAATACACCTATAAATATTTACATTGAAACTTCATGTCAATAATATTCAGTGAATATATACAAATGCTCAAAAAACTAATAAAAGTTGTTGAAAAAGCCTTTATAAAATGAAAATAATATATTATCAGGCATCTTTCTCAACTAGTCCACAACTTCAGTTCCAACATCGACCCACCTTATTAGTCTAGCCTTCAAAGTTCATTTACAATTCTTTAAGACATATATTCTACCTACTGTTCAAATCTTATAATTTACTATACGAAAAAAGAAATACAAAGCCTTAACAATGCATACTGTATGATTTTATTTTTTACTACTCATAAAACTTTAATATTCTTTAATACTCTACTTTTAATATTCAAAAAAAAAATTTCAAATCAATCAAAAACTTAAAGCATACAACCTACAAAGTTTTCATCATCGATTTTTATGGAGAGCACTAAAACTATCCAATAAAATAATTAATTACAAGAAACCGATGAATATTATTCAAACAATTTGATTTCATTAACCTTGATAACATCAAGTACAACACTCGAAATAAAAACTTTTTAAACTTCAGGGTGTCTAACAAACACGATAAACAGTCATTTAGTTCTTTTTTCAGCAATTTAATCAATAAGCATTGCAATGACAATATCAACTTAGCACCAAAAGAATTTAGTGATCTATATTTACTGAACAATGTCAACTCAATTATAGCACATACAACTATCAACAACATTAAAGTTGATGTCAATATAAACAGAATAAATAACTATATTGACTTTTATGTAAGCTAAAAATTAAAAAAAAAAAAAAAGACATTTAAATTTTTTAACATCTTTTATTTTGTATTTACAATAATTTATCATACTACTTGTATTTATATTAAAAAAGATTCACCTACAAAGGTAAAAGACATATAGTCCATAGAATAGAAGCTAAGAAATATATATAATATAATTATACTAATACAATACAATAATTTATTAATTTAATATATTAAAAAAAAAACACATCAAATATAATTGTTGCTGGATTATGGTTACCAGCATCATCAGCTCATGAAGATATACAAAAAAATTTTTAACATTAAAAATGGTTTAAAATTTACTGATATCAAATATTGAATGGCTTCATTCTTTTTTACGTAAAAATGTAAAAAACGAAAAAAAGAGTCAAATTTTTTTGCTTCCACTTTAATTGTTTTTACATTCCTCCCACTTTATTTCTTGCAGTCAAAACTTAGTATAGGTGACCATTGCAGACTGGTAATTTTTCCTCTCATTTAAACTTTTTAGATGTTGTTGAGTTTGAGTCCTTTTTTTAAAGTTTAGTTTCACCAACATATGTCTTTAAGGAATTTTATTCAATTTAATAAGTTCTGGGTTGACTATTATGTGGTAATTTAGTTTTGCTTTTTGATGTTAGCAATATTTATAAATCAGGTTTGTCCAGGAAGGTGTGCAATTTAATTCCATAATGTGACCACGCAAATACTATTTGATTTTGAAAACTTGACCATGGCTGTTAAGATGTTTTGAAAACTTGTATATTTTTTAAAAAATGTGCTAAAAAAATGATCTTAACTATAAAGAAACTAAAAAAAAAACTTATCCTAAAAGAAGCAAATAAATCTTCTTAAAAAATAAAAATAACGAGAAATAAATATAAAAATAACTAATGTCTAAAACTAAAATCAAACTGTAGTTTTAACTAAGTGAATTTTGCGAAATTCAACTAAAATAAAAAAAATAATAAACTATTGCAATAAGATTATTTCAATTATGAATAAATAACTTTGAACTGTTTATCTATACTAATATTTTTATATATTATTATGTGAAACCCTTTTAAAGTAACAACTTTTAAAATAAACCCTTTTAAAGTAACAACTTAAATCTAACGATTGTTTAATAAATACTCGCATTAAAAAGATTCTTAACAATTCTTGGCAACAATTCTTGGTAAACAAAAGAAAAAATAATTAAATCATTTCTTTAAAAACTTTTCTATTTTTAAAAAAATGGATATAACTTTTCTATTTATAGGCATTAATAATAAAAACACATACTTATATAAAAAAATATATACGGCATTCATTAAAATTTTAAATAAAAAATCATTAGCAGTGATTTCTTACTTTATTTAAATGAGTTTCAATATTATAAAAACATAAGTAAAGATCAAAGTTATTTAATTTTCAAAGTTATTTAACTTTCAAAAATGTTTCTCTGTTTTTTTTTCATAACAAAATCTTTTTTCTTTTCGAGGGTATAAACTTTAATGGTTCTTATATTAAATTTATTAAAGAGACAATTGTTGTTTAAAGTCATTACTCATAAAATTTAGTTATAATTTTTTTTTTATAATTTATCAAAAAAAAAATCTTGTATACAAATTTCATTGACACTTTAATTAAAATCTATTTAAAAGAACTTTGCTAATACAAAAACATTAGTAATGTACGTTAGTAAGGTGTCAAAGTTATTTATCTTTATCAAATTAAAAACCATTATTATCAGAGCATTTCACAGTGGGCCAGAATTTTGAGACAAAATTAATAACTAATTTAAAAATATAACTGTATTTACGAAATTCAGCAAGAGTACCGAAATGAGATCTGCACTTCTTATGAAAAAGTTAATTTTTATATTTAGTTGCTACCTAATTTTATTATATTTAGTCGATACCTAATTTTGCATAGCAACAACCTGTTTCCGGTAGTTTTTCAATTGTGCTACATTAAATGTTTTTGGCATGTGTGTTAATATGAGGTCTTTTCTTCTTATAAAAATGATTTTTATATTTGGTTACTATGGTTACTTAATTTTGCAGAGCGAAAATTAGGTAACCGTATATCACCTATGGTTTACTATTATGGTTACTTAGTTTTGCATAGCAAAACTTAGCTTTGCATGGCAAAAATAAGTAGCCATAGCAACATATTTAATTAAAATTTATATAACAATAAAATTATACATAATTTAGAATAAAACAAAACAAACAGAACTCTTAACTTATTTATATATCAGGAGAACATAAAAGAAAACATAACAACATAAAAGAAAACATACACAATATAAAAAAACAACATTAAAACTCAATAAAAAAAAAAGAAAAGGGATTTTTTTTTTATTGCTGTTTTCTTAAACTGGACACCAATAGATCAGAAGTGTACAACAGATGTTTTATTACATTTTGCATATATATATATATATATATATATATATATATATATATATATATATATATATATATATATATATATATATATATATATATATATATATATATATATATATATGACTTTATATAGTTCCTGAAATTTTGAAAAAGTTGCATTTTGATTGACTTATTTTACTTGCATTACTTTATCTTTTTCTTACATGGTCTTGGTGATAACTCTTAAAATTTTTATTATTATCTTAAGTTTTCCTAATTTAAGATTAATAGACAATATCATTTTTTCCAATATAAGGTATCCGTGTATTATTATATTATACAGACATTGAGGTATATAGTGCCAGGAGTAACAGTTAACAAAATATCTGTTTTATAGTAGTTTAAAATATCTGTTTTTATGCACAACCTTTTAAACGGTCTGAAATGAACTTTATTCAGTCTGAAAATGTGATTACATTGATTTTTTACAGTAATATATAGTGAATAATATGTAGCAATTAATAAGTTTCAGTGATTATTTTCAGCAAATTAAATTTAGTGCGCCTAAGACATTTATTTAGAAAATTATGAACTTTACAAAATTTGATTTGGGATTTAACGATTTGGGATTAGTTTCAAATCTATAATCCCAAAATGCCTGATTCAAAACCACTGGAAACACAACAAAGTATAACATTCAATTTTTCAATTAGCACTTTATCAACTCCTGTAATTTCACTAAATATCATTTAAAAAATTTATCCTGGCTGTATTAGCGTTCTCACTACCATCTGCTCTTGGTTGATCTACTATCAATTCAAGAATCTTTATCTATAACCTTTTCTGAATTAAACTCTTTTGCTCCAATTTTTGGCTCCAAAAAATCTTGCTTGCCAAAATTAAATTTTTATTTTAATAGCAATATGCAATAAGCATTCAAAGCATCTTATCCAAACATGTAAGCTTGAGAGACTATACCGGAGAATATGAGTAGATTGCTTTTTTTAATAACAATTTCAATTATATTCATTTATGATGGGTTAAATGCACCAAAACATGATTGACTAGAGTCAGTTGCGTTGGATATGACAGTGTGCATCTTTTCATAAATCATAGTGATTTCGATATGGTTTGTAATAGATATTTTTTGCTCTTCGAAAATAACAATGGATGCATTCAAATCTGCAGTTTCATTTTTAAGTTTACTTTCTTTATCAATCAATACAGATTTAGCTTCTTTTTTAAACTCAAAACTCTACAATTTCTACAATAAATGGCTAATGGTAGCTTTAGGTTTCTCCTTAAAATAACATTTTTACTATCAATACTTGTAAATAACTCTAAAGGAACAACATAAGTCAAAAATAAAGAATTTACATTTGATAAATTACGAGAACTGCTTTCTGATGATTTTTGTTCATAAATCCTTTGAACCACCAAATTTGTAATATTGCAATACTTAATCTAACAGAAGACTCTTTATGCATCGAGAACTTATTATTCCTAATATATTTGTATATCTCAAGTCTTACAGTGCTCAAAGTTGCAAGAAGTAGCAGCCAAAACTAATTTTACCTCATAGTAAACATGT